TGCCTAAATTCACAGGCCAGTTCACAATAAAGGACACTTGCATTATTCTTGTTTTCCCATGATTTAGCAACATTGTTAGTAACTTCAAGCTTTCTAGTTACAAACGAAAAGTGGAATAATTTAGGTATTAGAAAGTAATTTCTGGAGGGATGTATTAGATCTATACTCTGTTACCACTTCTAGATGTGTATGTATAAAATATAGGCAAATACAGATACACTTTTGGATCAAAAATGTAGATGGAACTTTTGATGCATTTAATATATATTGTCATCTGTTATTGTTCAGATTATTAGAAAGTCATTGGTACAATAACACTGGAGTAGGATTCTGTTAGCTACCCGTAGCCTATATGGCCATTTTAGATCTCCTGTGATTTTCTGCCTGGTATCTCAGCTTCTTCTCTAAAAAGGACTAGGTCATCCATAGGCTCCTATAGTAATATTTGCCAATCCTGTATGGATTTCTTGAGCCTTCTAGGGCATATGAAAAGGTAATAGCAATCAGTCCTCACATAACTGAATCATGTCCTGCATGTATTGCAGAAAAGTAGCAGTGTTGTATTTATTGATTAAACTTGTTTTCTCGAATTTCACTCTGGATTATCATTAATTATCCTCTTTTAATTGTATGAGGGTTCCGTATTTCCTCCCTTACTTTCCTGCCACCCAATCAATTTTGAATGGATCCTGTTGGTAAAGGGTAGTTGGTATAATCATAGACATGTTAGTTGGAAGGAACGTCTTAGTCATGGTGTGGGTGTTTTTGGGAAGGGAAGAAAAGGTTGGTTTTGGGAGAAGTATTCATTTTGGGGTTTTCTTGAAACTTGAAAACCTTTGGTGGTAGAAATTCCACAACCTTTCTGAGTAACCTGCTGTTCTGTCTTATGCACAGAAGAATTTCTTCCACCTCCCAAACCGTAATTTATGGCTGGTGTCCCTAGTTCTATGACCTGCCACTGCAAAGAGCTGTATGCTTCCATGTGTAGCTTTTATCTATCCCACATATGTTTCTAATATGAAGTACGGTGTTAAGTACTTGTTTAGATGTTTGGATAAGTGAATTTAAGTCTAACTGTTTTGTATAACCTGCAGCCTCATTCCTTTTAGCTAATTCTTCTAGGTTGTTCCCTGCCATGGGAAACTAAAGAGGAAAAAAGCAGTACTCTGGTATTTTTTCCATTGTTTTAATTCAGGTACTGAACATGGAGTTGAACTTCAGCAGGATTATCTTTAATGCATTGTGTAAATAGTGTGAAAAACTCTACAGCTGGTTTTCAGATGTATGAGTACCTAACATCAGTGTTTGGTATGGAAATACTGCTACAAGGATTAGAGATACATTGAATTCTGTGCATCAGAATAGCTCCCTTCAAGTAGATATAAAAAATCTGAGTAGGGAGGCAGCCTTTTTGAAAGATACCTTACTGTAAATGATACCATTTATCAAACTAATGTCATGTATAGACACATGTCTAAAAATACAGCATCCTCAAAAATAGTAGGTGTATGTGGAATAATAGGGGAAAGAAAAGCCTCGTATGTGTTAACAGCAATTGATGCCCGTAGCATTGAACCCTCCTTTTAGGAAAGGCTATTTGAACAAATAACTCAAAACTGCCGAGTCTATCAATGCCTTAGCCATACTAAGGAATAAGAGTGCTAAGGAGAATGACTGTGTTGAAAAACAATGGGTAAGGTAGAAGCAATATATAGAACTCATTGCTTTCAAGTTGGATGGTTTCTATCCTAAAAAACCCCACCAAAACCAAATCAAAACTATTGGAGAAAATGGTTAAAATACTGCAACTTAGCTGGCAAAACCCATCAAATTATATGGAGTGCTGTGGTGGGTTTGACCCTGTCTGGATGCTAGGTGCCCACCAAAGCCACTCCATCACTCCCCCTCCTCAACTGGACAGAGGAGAAAAAAATACAACAGGCTTGTGGGTTGAGATGAGGCCAGGGAGGTCACTCAGCATTTACTGTCACGGGCAAAACAGACTCAACTTGGGGAAAAAATGTAATTTATTACCAGTCAGCTCAGAGAGGAGTAATGAGAATAAAACAAAATCTTAGAACACCTTCCCCCCACCTCTCCCCTCTTTCCTGGGCTTAACTTTATTCACTATTTCTCTCTCTCCTCTCCCCTAATGGCACAGGGCAACAGGGAATGGGGGTTGGGTCGGTTCATCACACTGTTTTCTGCCACTCCTTCCTAAGGGGGAGGGCTCCTCACACGCTTCCTCTGCTCCAATGTGGGGTCCCCCTCATGGGAGAAAGTCTGCTCCAGCGTGAGCCCCCTCACAGGGTCACCAGCAGCAAACCTGCTCCAGCATGGGCTTTTCTCTCTCCACGGGCCACAGGTCCTGCCAGGAGCCTGCTCCGGTGCAGGCTTCCCACGGGGTCGCAGCTTCCTTCAGGTATCCACCTACTCTGGTATGGGAGCCCTCCATGGGGTGTAGGCAGTCATCTGCTCCACCGCCCATGGGCTGCAGGGGGACAGCCTGCCTCACCGTGGTCTTCACCACAGGCCGCAGG